AAAAAAAAAAAAAAATCGATCTCAATACCATGGAGTTAGAGGTGGCAGAGAACCACCTACCACGGATGTGTCCTTAAATCATACCCACGATCTCTTTGCATCTCAGTTTTTTTCAGCTGTAAAATGAAAATAATAACAATTATACAATAATAATCCACCTCAAATGAGAGGATCAAAGGAGAGAATGGCTATACGATTGTTCCCTAAACTGAATGAGAATATAAGCGGGAATGAAGTGTGCTCTCTGCTGTGTCTGTTCCAACTCAGTCTAAGGATCCTGCATATCCTAGCACTATGCAGCTGTAGTTGACATTTGCAGAGAACTTCATGATTGTTGAGAGTTATGCTTTCCCCCAAAATACTGTGGCATCCTGCTTCTGGCCTTAATAATAGAAGTGGAAATGGAAGCATGAATGCTGAGATAATTGAGGCTGCAGAGTTTATTGATGGGAGAGCTGGAATTAGGAAACCTAAGGCCTGGCACCCCGGTCCAGATGCTTTGCCTGTGACTGTACAGCTTTCTGCGCAGCCACAGATGCCATCAAAGGAGCACGTGATCAGCATCAGCTTTCAGTTTCTGCACTGACCGTAAAGGTAGCCAAGGGTCATGGGGGCCTCCTGAGCTGCAACATCTTGGTTCTCAGTTTCAGACAAACTTCAGCTGAGTTCTAAAGTAACCTGGATCCAATTATCCAATTATCAGATGGATCCAAATGTATGAAACAATTAAAGATACAAAACGTGGATGATATTGTTTATCTTTGGTTTTGTTGGATGACGTCCATTTTCTTTTTAATGGTAGGAAAAAAAGCGATGTACTCACTATTTACTTAAAACCCACCACCTGCAGGTTGAAAGGAGGCTCTGGGCATCTGTCAGCAGCTGCTTTTCTCTAGTGGCCATGGGCTTGCCCCAGGCCAGCCAGTCACACTCTCATCTGGGTCCATTCCGACCAGGAGTGTTAAGAAGTCTACTGTCCCCCACCTCATATCCATGGACCTCTTTTTCCTTTTAGTGATAGACCTCCATTTACCAAGTTCTTACAGAGCCCATGGCCACTCAGGTAAAGATAAAATTTTGCAAGTACCCTTGGAGCCAGGCACAGTCACATGACTAACTTTGTGCCAAAAGATTAGGAGTAGAAGCAGTTAATGCGACTTCCCTAAAAGGAAAGGATGAGCTTTGGACTTCCTCTCTCTCCCCTCATACTACAATATGGATAGAGTGGTGTTGCTCTCCTTTTGAGAATGTGGACAAAAGTGTCATCTTAGGGAATAGCAGAGCCACAAGAGAGAAGGAACCTGGGCCTCTGGATAGTCTTCTAGATCAAAGCCACAAATTCAGCCCAGCCACCGATTCCCATATTATTACGTAAGAAGATATAAGTTTCTATCACTCAGCTACTGTGTTTGGAGGTATTTTTGTTATAGCAGCTGAGTCTAGACTTTGACGAACACACCTGTGCATTGGTGAAGATATGGGTTGAATTACAGTGTGACTCCAACACAAGAAAAATATTAATTGATCAGTTATTACAGATATTAGGTCTGTGACCAGGACATTGAACATCAAAGAACATAATAAGTGAGAATGAACTCAAAGATCATAGGTTTTATTTTCATAGTCCTCACAATTTCCAGGCAAGTATTAGTCTTATAGACCACTAAGTACATGAAAACTACCTTTTATAATGTGGAGGAGGGCTGAGGAAGAAGAAAAATATTTAACATTCATTGAGCATTTACTATGTACTAAAGACTCTACTCCACATGTTACATCCTGTCGATGGTGGAGGTAGATATTATCCTCCCATTCCCACTACCCCACCCTCATCTTAAATGAGGACATGGGTTCAGCAAGGCTTGATTTGCCCAAAGTCAGCAAGTATGAGAGCCAGAATTTGAACCCGAATCTACTGGTATCAAAGTTGCTTCTCCAGAATGAAGAATCAATAAGAATAAAAGTGGGTTGCCATCTCATGACAGCTGTGAGACTGCACATAATAAACACTTTACACTGATTTTAAAGCTCTGATAATACCGAAGAAGTACAATTCTGAGCAGGTGAAAGGACCCTGTATTTTTCCTTCAGAGTGTTCATGAACACTACCTTTCTTGTCTCTGTCACCTCTGATTCAGGATGGGGATCAGGCATACAAAGCCAGGGCTCTGTGTTCCCAGCGCCTTGTCCATAGGCCATTCTGAGTGGTCACACATCTCACCCTGTCTCCTAGGACTCTCCATTCCCACCACGGTCAGAGTCTGGCACTCCTGTGAGACAGATGACTGACTTGGAGAAACCAAATCTAGAACCAGATGCACTCACTAAGACAAGCACTAGGAAGCCAAACTGCCCGCAGGTGTTGGGATCCTGGATAAAGCCCTTACTCTCCTCAAGCCGGCATTCAGTGGGGAGAGAGACAATAAACAGAACCATATATGCAGCGAAGAAATTACGTGGGTAAGGGGACAGAGGCTGGGATAGAAGGCGGCTACTTTACATCAGAAGATCAGGCAGTGCCTCTCTGAGGACACAAAGGATGTTTGGCCTGAGTGAAATGAGGAAGCAATTTGTGCAAAGTCAACAAGTTCAGTTACCTGAGGCAAAGGTGTGTGTTTTGGGAGACATCAGGAAGACCGCCTTAGCACCAGCGCTGAAGGAAGAGCTCCTGGAGTCCCTGTTCCAGTCTCTCCTCTTCAGGGTCCTGTAGTCCCCGGAGGGTATGAACTGGGAGCAGTCTCCAGCCCAGACCGGGTTCCATGACAAGTCCTCATTCCCAGGTAGCAGCTGGGAGAGACCAGGCTACAGAGCTGGTTACCAAGACAGGGAATGAGGCCGGGACGCCAACACCAGACCTGATCTCAGGGTGGGGACTGGGGCTCAGGAACCACCAGGTAGGCCAATTAGTAGAACTGGGACATCAGTGCAAACAAACAGCAGAGCAAACAAACAGCAGCATCTGGATGTGGAATTTCTAAGGAAACATATGACTATTTCAGCACAGTTCACACCTCCCTCACTCCCACACAGAATGTGCATTCCCTCTGTCTTTGCCTGTTGCTTCTCTCCCTTCTGTTTTCTCTATTCCAGTCACACCTGCCACCTGGCCTGGCTCACGTCTGCCTCCAAAGCTTGAGCTTGCTATTCCCTCTTTCTGGAGTTCCCTTCCCTTGGATGCCCTCGGGGCTTATGCTGTCACCTACGTCACTGTCTCAGGCCACCCTGATTGCCCTCTCCCAAATTGCAAACATGAGGTGGAGGAAGAAGCTCCCTGGCCAAAGGAGGGGACTGCTGTGAGGGAACCTGGTTCAGCGAAGGACGGAAACAATACGCCACTTAGGTGCAAGTCAGGCAGCTGAGGAACCCATCCCGGCACTCAGCATTCCCCTCTAATTGCCCTGGGAGAGTTGAGGAACCAAACTAGAACTCCAGCATTGATATACCACTAACCCTGGGTCTGGGCACATGAGTTTTGGTTTTGTTTGTGTGTGTGTGTTGTTTTTAGGGAAATATAGACAATACATTCCCAAAAAGGTTCAAAATTTAAAACATACCAGAGAACCTTCAGCGAAAATCCCTCCTGTTCCTCTTTCCTTTCAACTACCTGCTTCCTCCACTGAAAGCCACAAATGTTATCAGTGTCTGGTGTATCCTTCCAGAAATACTTTATAGATAACCAACCAAAGATGTTTCTATTCCCCCTGCTCTTTATCCAAATGGTGGCATCCTATACATATCCTCTTTGCTTTTTTCACTTAAATGTCTTAAAGATATCTCCCTCTCAGCTTCTCTGCTTCTGTTACAGCAGCTTAGTAATCTCTTTAGGTGTGCTATCATGTTTTATTGAAGCAGTTCCCTTCTGATGAACATGTGGGCTATTTCTAATCCTTTGTTGTCAAAAACAGTACTGCAGAGAATAACCTTGAACACAGGTCATCTCACTGTGGGTAATTCCTGTGGGGATTGCTGTATCCAGCGTGTGAGCATTTTCAGTTTTGATCAGCAGCACCAATCTGTCCTTCCTAAGGAAGATCTCCCATATGAGCATGCATGTGGCTTCATTTTAACCTTCCCAGGGAAGAGAAGTTAAGGCAACTAGCATATGACTGTTTCAGCACAGAACCCACACTTCACTGCTCAGGGCTTGGCACAGAGTTGGAGCTTAATAAATGTTTGTTAGGTGAGTATATGGGAGGATGAGAGGATGACTAGATCTGAGGTTGGATAGAGAGATATATAAACCAATGATGAAATTCAAGACAACACAAGTACTGCCTCCTTCTGAAAACCAGCCTATACTTACTCCTCACCCTTTTGTGTGCAGGGCCACAGAGTTAAATTTTTCTCTGCTTCCTATGTGTCCCTTTTGTGTCTTTAAATTAAGGGTAAATTCCTGGAGGCTCGGGACTACAGAGACTGGCAGAAAACAGCAGAGCAGATGGCATCCCAGCTCTGCCATGTGCTAGCTGTAGGACTCCGGGCACGTTGCTAAATCGACTTGGTATCAGCTGCCTTGTATGTCAAATGCGGGGATTACACTTGTACCTACCTACCCCATAGGTGGTGGTGAGAGAATTAAATATGCTAATGCGAGTAATGAGCTTAGAACATGCCAGGCCAACAGCAAGCCCTCGGCAAATGTTCACTGCTGATGGTGCTCTGTTGTACCTCTTCCATTGCTTACAGTAGTGGTGCATATACAAAGAAGTATTGTGCCAGTATTTCACCACTGATTCCATATACTTTCATGAACAATCAATTTTAGTTGAACCATGCCATTCTTCCAGCATGCACATTGCTTTTGAATGCTGTTGAATATCTCAGATCTTATTTTCCTAGCTTGAGTCAACACAAGTATACATTAACTTATTCCATGAATATTTAATTTTATCTACCAGGAGTCAAGATTGGAGCCATGAACAAGACAGCAAAATCTTTACCGTCATGGGGGCTTCATTTCGTGAAGGAGACACAGCCGAGGGAGCTAAGTGAAAGAGGCAGCCACTCTGGGGAATTCGCTGCATGAAATGACTTTGTTTTGAAAGTTTCAGAGGCAAAGTTATCCAGATTGTCTGTCGGCATCTCCCAAATGTACCTGGCTATTTGCTTTGCTCTCGAGTTCATTCATTTTAGCTATGAAGCTTTTATCCAAGTGCTTGGAATTTTCTTCCTTGAACATCTCTTTAATCAGATCCATTCCCCTCCTCACCTCCTTGATCATTCTTCTCCAGCATAGTTGCTAATGATGTGTGCATGTGCCAGACTTGAACAAATGTTGGGCTGCCAACGACTCTGCGCCTGTTAATTTCATCCTCAGCTCAAGCCGGGATCCTTGAGTTACAACAGATGCTGCTTCCCCGGGGCTTCAGTGCCCATCGATCAGCTTTGTTGATGAGGAAAGAAAGTTTCCTCCTTGACTGCCATTTGAATATAATTTATTGTGTTCTGAAAGAAAAGTGGAAAGACGAAAAGGTACGGATGGGCAATAATACAAATGAATTGTGATGGATGACACTCAGTTTTTGGTTTCAAAGAAATATGCTTTTAAGTCAATAAGTGATTGCAATGGTGAGAAGAAGTCTCCACAGCTGTGCTAAACGGGCTCCTTCTAAATGGCCAGCATGCCTGTTGGACTCCACGAGGGAATGAGATGAACAATTGTAATAAAGAAATAATAAAATAAGCACATGGTGTTTAAGAGCAACACCATAAACAGACTGTGGATTTTAATCCAGGCTCCAGTCTTGAGCAAGTTTACTTAATGGCTCTGCATCCCATTTCCTCAGGTGTAAAATGGGAATTCTAGTACCTGCTTCTAGCAGGATTATTGGGAGGATTAAGTGAGTTAAAATACGGAAATTTATTAGAACAGTTTCTGCCATGTGGTAGGCACCAAATTGATGTTTGCTCTGTTTGCTGCGGTTGATGGTGAATCTTGCACTCCACCAGTTCCTGAGCTAAGCCTGTCTGTCTGTGACTTCACTTCACGATCACCACCACTCTCCCTGTGACACCATCACTGTGTTCATCTTTTACAGGGGGAATGGGTGGAGGGCTATGCGCTTGTTCTCCAATGTGGTTGAATTTCTGACTTTGCTCTTAACCTCACTTAGTTTTTTGTTTTGTTGTTTTTTAAGGTGGAGTTTTGCCCTTGTCTTCCAGGCTGGAGTGCAATGGTGCAATCTCGGCTCACTGTAATCCCTGCCTCCTGGGTTCAAGCGATTCTTCTGCCTCAGCCTTACAAGTAGCTGGGAGTACAGGTGCGTGCCACTACACCTGGCTAATATTTGTTTTTTTTTAGCATAGACAGCTGCTCTCAAACTCTTGACCTCAGGTGATCTGCCCACCTTCGCCTCCCAAAATTCTGGGATTACAGGCATAAGCCACTGTGCCCAACCTCAGACTTAGGTTTTATATGAGTGTCTTCTGTTTACATATTTGCAGTTTCAATTAGATATAGCAAAAAATTTTAAACACTGGAAATAAATATTCCAAGCTGTTCATAGTGATTGTTTTCGGGTGATAGGATTATGAGGGACTAGTTTTCTTCCATCTTTCTGTATTTTGAAATTTCTAAAACTAGTTGTGTGTGTGTATATGTATTTATTTCCAATAAAATGTGTAAATGAACGTTTAAATATGAAAGATAGGCAGATTTAGTTCATTCTTTCTTTTCCTGAAATAACTCAATCAACTTCATCATCAGACCATGTTAATAAGAAATCAGGAACTCAGTGTCCCGTACAGGACCAAGACTGGCTGATGCTGGGCCTGGTGGTTGTAGAATTGTTTCTCTTTCTGGGGACTTGTTGCTCTGTGAGACATCTAAGCCCCTACAACAACATAATTTTATATGATTAATTAGTTAGTTATATACATGCTGTACTAAGAAATGCTACATCTGAGATAAAGGTGAGTATAATATCATAAATAATTTAAAATTGAAATGACAATAAATAACAACAAAAGCAACAGCTCCTAAGTAAAGAGTTGCTGCTTACATTTCAGGTGGTTTGTAAGTTCCTTTTGAAGTGGGCACTTCTATTATCAGGGTCCTGGCCTGAATCTGAGGTTAATTAGATATTGCTTTACAGCTGTAGAGACTGTTGTTCCTTCAATCATACCACTCAAATTTTCATTACCTTTCCTGGTTTCGTGCTCACTTGAAAATCGGTTGAGAAGACACTATAGGTTTGATAGAGTGGATTAAAAGGGGAAAAAATTAAGTAAAGGTAGTCCTACTTCACACTAACCTTATTTAAGAAAGCAGCATGAGGCCGGGCGCGGTGGCTCAAGCCTGTAATCCCAGCACTTTGGGAGGCCGAGGCGGGTGGATCACGAGGTCAAGGGATCGAGACCATCCTGGTCAACACGGTGAAACCCTGTCTCTACTAAAACTACAAAAAATTAGCTGGGCATGGTGGCGCGTGCCTGTAATCCCAGCTACTCAGGAGGCTGAGGCAGGAGAATTGCCTGAACCCAGGAGGCGGAGGTTGCAGTGAGCCGAGATCGCGCCATTGCATTCCAACCTGGGTAACAAGAGCGAAACTCCGTCTCCAAAAAAGAAAAAAAAAAAAAAAAAAAAAAGAAAGCAGCATGAAAGCTCTAAGGTAGGTTATCTGAGCTCAGGGGCAGTTAAAAGTCCTCCTCATTCAATCCACAGCCTCTGCAAATATTATGCCCCTCATGGAATATAGGTAGTGGCAATGGGAGGAAGGCATATTTTCCCTCTATAGCCCCCCACCTCAATTTTGCAACTTATGATTACAGTAGGAACCCAAGAGGAAAAAAATAATTGTCCAAAATGTGATAGAACCTTTTATTAATATATATTTCCAAAATAATGCTGTACAATGAATCACCCAACTAAGTCACTTAACAAAAACCAACAGCTATTGACAAGGATGCAGAGAAAAGAGAACACTTACACATGCTAGTGGGAATGTAAATAGTACAAGCTCTATGAAAAACAGTATGGAGGTTTCTCAAAGAATTAAAAATAGAACTGCCATAAAATCCTGCAGTTCCACTACTGGGAACCTATCTAAAGGAAAAGAAATTATTATATTAGAAAAAGACACCTGAACACACATGTTTATAGCAGCAATGTCTACAACAGCAAAGTCATGGGATCAACCTAAGTGTCCCTCAATGGATGATTTGATGAAGAAAATATAGTATGTCTACAAAATGGAACACTATTCAGCCATTTAAAAAAATGAGATGATGATGATGATGTTGATGATTATTTTGCAGCAAAATGGATGAAACTAGAGGCCATGACCTTAGGAGAAACAATTCAGACAGAGAAAGCTAAATACTGTAGGTTCTCATTCGTAAGTAGGAGCTAAATAATATATACACATGAACTTGGAATGTGGAATGATAGATAATGGAGACTCAGAAGGGTGGGAGGGTAGGAGGGAGATGGATGATGAGAAATTAATGGGTATCATGTAAATTATTTGAGTGATAGATATCCTAAAAACCCTGACTTCACCGCTATGCAATATATCCATGTAACCAAAATTAAGTGTACCTCATAAATTTGTGAAAATAAAATAAATTAAAAAATAAATGCACATACTTATTTAACTACATTAGACTATTACTTGCATTTTTTTTTTGACATAAACAGTACACCAAAGACATTGTACTTTGTCATGTCAGTATACATATTTGTAAATTCTAGATATGGCATTTCTGGGTCAAAGAGCATATACATTGAATGTGTTTCATTAACAAAAAATGGAAAAATAAATAATTTTTTAAAAACAACATAGGCTGGGTGCAGGGACTCACACCTGTAATAGCAGCACTTTGGACCGAGGTAGGTGGATCATTTGAGCTCAGGAGTTCGAGACCAGCTGGGGCAACATGGCAAAACCTTGCCTCTATAAAAAATACGAAAATTAGCTGGGCATGGTGGTGCACACCTGTAGTCCCAGCTATTTGGTAGCTAGGGCAGGAGGATTGTTTGAGCCTGAGAGGCAGAGGTTTCAGTGAGCTGAGACTCTGCTACTGCTCTCCAGCGTGGGTGACAGAGTGAAACTCTGTCCAAAACAAAACAAAACAAAACAAAAACCTACTTGCTTAAATACCAATTATGTATGATTTCTCAGCTAGACGGTTCTGCTTACCTGTACTGGGCTTAGCTAAATTTGGCTGGGCTCCTCCATGCACATGTGGTCAGCAGGTCTGGGGTCTGGGCCTCAGTTGGGTTGACTTGTTTCCAACCCACATGATTCTCCAGCAGGCTGACACAGTCTAGTGGACATGGCGGCTAGATCGTATTCCACCAGTGAGAAAGGACGTGGGCACACTCTCTTAGATTCTAAACTCAGAACCGACCCTCCATCACTTCTACTGCATTCCACTAGCCAAAGCGTAACACAGGCCAGCCCAAATTCCAGATGGGGAATAGTCACAAAGTCATGCTGCAAAGGGTGTGGATACAAGAAAGGGGGGAAAATTGGGGCCATGTTAGCGACCAACCTACCACAAACTGGAAACATAATGGTACAGGAAATAAGCAACAATCACGAAATATGCTTCATTGTTGTAATTATCCTGAGACAGTGTAGATCATAGGATTTTCACCAAGATGGAAGCCAAAAAGTACTCAAAATTTTGAGTAGAGAAGACACAAGAGATACCAGCACATCAGATCTTGCCCCTGACCCACCCCCTAAGAGGCATGTCCCGCTCTGGAAGAAGAGTCCTTTGATTCTCGATGATGCTGTGGAAGATTATTCCAAGTCTGGGGCCCCTTCAGAATGAAATCACTGCAGCCCTGTGAGGGGCTTGTTAGGTACCCAAGGTGATCAATTATTTCTGCAGTCCTGAAGGAGCACAGAGCAGTGACATCATTGAAGTTGTTTCAGAGGTCTTAACAAGGTCTCCTGATCTCAGGCTTTGTCTGACATGATCAAGTTTTGACAAAAGGTCGAAACATAAAATTACGCTGTAGCCTAAAAAAATTCTCTTTTAAATGAAACCCTAAATTTATATTCAAAATTGTATGCATATTGTGATCGAAACCATGTAAAGCTATGTACATAAAAAGACAAAGGTAGACCAGAAACACGCAAAAGGGAAAATAGTTATATTCAGATGATGCAGTGGTCGTGTTTCTCTCATTTTTCAAAATGTTCTTTAATGCTGGGGTTATACTATCTTACCATAAAAGAATGGGGGGGCTGTAAATAAATGGAAAGCAAAGATTAACAAGCATTTATCTTCAATTGTATACACACTATTGAACAGTGAAAACTCAATATTGTCTTTTTATTTTATAATCTTGAGGCTGACAATGAAATATTCAAATGCCAAGAAACTCAAAAGCAGTTCAGAATTATACTTGAGGAAGAGTTATGTGACTCCACTATCATTACTTAATTCATACAAAGTGCCTTAAATAAGTGGTTTTATCTTTATCTTGTGAT